TGTCATGAGTTTTTATTTTATTTGTGTTTTGCCACCCCGTCGGGACTCAACTTGTATCGGCCCCGATCCTGCTGGGTCCTGCTGTCTAAGATCTAAACACAGCGTGGGTAGACAGACCGGAGATCGGTATAGTTGCTTTAGTGACCAGGTATTGGAGCCGAGTCGGAAAGGCGAGGCTGGTGATCATCTGACCAAAGGGTTGGAGCGGCACGCTTGGAGGAGCGACGTCACCGTTGGCGCCCGTAACCAAAGGATCCGACACTGGGCCAGGTGTGTAACCGTCAAATATGCTGCTATTTTCAAATATGGAAACAACAAAATTAACTTTTACTTTGTTCTCATTCAATGTGTATTCAAAAATTCTATTAAAAATCTGCTTAGATCAGCAATTCCATCTTTTGTTTTAAAGTTGGGATTCATTAAAAAAACCCATACATGAACACTTATTTTCAGCACCTCCATAGTTGTTACATTCATTTAAAAAATTATGAGAACAATAATTGTAGAATAAAGATATGAAATAGAAAAATAGTTCTTAATTTCTTTACACAGGCAAAGATAAACTTATCCTGGTCAACTTGGTAGTTTTAACAAACATCTTTAGGCAAATCTCTCATATCCAGCAGCCAGTTTGTGTCAGCTGATAAGAGCAAAATTCCTTGACAAAGGCTCTTCATTATGCAAGATTGCAATCTCATCAGATAAACTGGATATGAGGATATATAAGGAAAATGTTTTCACCAAATTTCTTTATTATTCAAAATGTATGTCACATGCTATTTCCAAAGAAAGAATTGCCAATGCTGAACTCATCTCAAATTAATAAAACCTCTTTCCCTAGATACAAACTTCATGCTAAAATGCAATTTTCTTTATAAGAACTATTTTAAAACCAATGTAAACCTAAAACTGCATAGAAAATAAAGCAAATACAATTGGATTTTAACTTTATAATCTACTGATGTTGTGCATGCAGATCTTTTTAAATAAAAACAACAAATGAAATCCTCTGAGATCTAAATGCTATCAACAACAATTTTGATGTTTCACAAAGTTAGAAAGGAAGACATATCTTAACAGTTAAATGAATCATATATCAGAAAACAGGAAAAAAAATCACAATGACACTTCAGGTTGTTTACCTTTTTTTTTGACAGTTTTAAACAACTTGTGATTTATAACTACTTCACTCCAGTGAACCTCTCAGATTTATGATTAGTTGGCACATTTGACTACTGTATTTTCTTTTATTCAAAACATCTGCCTGTAAATTCACTCATCTTTTAAAGTGAAATGCTTTGTTTATTTTGCAGACCACTATATTTGACATTTAAACAGTAGTAACTTTGTTCTATGAACTTAACAATTAGGATAAAAAAGGTTTATTACAATCATGAACTACATGATTGTAACAAAACTGACAGATAAATCAATTATGTGACTGAAAAATATTGATAAAAAATTGTGCAAACAAATCTGAAAGCATTTTAAAATGTCATAAGAATATGACTTTGTAGCAATATTGAAAAACTGACCCATTTTCTAGCTAAGTGATTCCAATCAAGGCAATACCTATATAAGGTAGAGGTACATACATCACCTTGATTCCAATACATAGAGAATAAAGGTAATTCCAAAATAATATGCTTCCAGGTAATCAATATCTAATTAACAAGAGTTAGGATTGAGTGTGTTAATATTTTTTTTTCTGAAATGATATCAATATATATTACCAGTTCAAATATACATTTTACAGTAAAGAATTATATGACTTTATAGGTCCTTGATAATGAAGCAATAGTAACACTAATTTATTTCATACAAGGCATTTTTTATTGTAAGTATAAGCTCTAAACAAATTCAAAAAAGCATTTTTTAAAATGCATTTTTTTTAAATTAAAATCTAATAATTGATATATTTTTTACCAAGTAAAAAAAAGAATTAGTAAAAATATGTCCATGTTTGTAAGTAAATCAAAATGTAAATTGAAAAAATGTCTAATGTTCTCAAATATCATGAGAAAGTCTTTTCTTAAAATGTCCACATGTAAAGATTGATGAAACAAATTCACTGATTAGTGGCTAATTTAAAGTATTATACAAAAAATGCTACAAAGGAAAAACATGCCTGGGTATTAAGCTAAAAAAAGAAAACAGAAAATAAGGGAAGCAGATTAATGAAAAGGGTAATTTCAAGAGGGCAAGCAAGAGTATTCTTGAATACAAATTGGGCTTCTAAATTTACCAGTTTTGTAATCTACTCATGGTTTATTTCCTGATTCAAGAGTTCTGACATTTGACTAGACTGACTGTGCTTAATAATATGGACTGGATGAGAAAGCAGCTCCAGGCTGTGCTATTAAACTGTATACAGTTTACAAGAGGTACAATAAGTAATGTCAAGATCAAAGAGCAATGTTTTGTGTGCTCAACCAGTTTATGCACACTTTAGTGCAGTGCCAAGTGTCTTACTGATTACTATTTAGCACTCTTAAAATTTAGATTCTACTGATTATTACAGTAATACTCAGAATAAATTACAATCTACACAATATCGGACTTTAAGCAAAAGAAATATGTACAATATTGCATTGTAAATGATAACTATAAGCAAAGATTTGGTAATTATTGCTAAATAAGTGACAACACTCATTTGTATATTTACAGCTTTAAAAATGGGCTATTAGTTCATTTGTCAACTTGCTGATATAGCACATGTGGTAGAGAAAAAAAAAGTTTAACATTCCATTTTCGGTTATGGATTTGTTATTTCAAACTCATTCAAAGGGCAAACTTTATTTCATTACAAGATAAAGAGCCTTTCCAATTAGAAGGCAAAAATAATGCATGATAAATGCATGAAGATCCATTAATACATCACCTACCAAGTTATAAAATAGTACCTTAGGAGAATGAGGAGATTTATTTTGAAAACTTGTATTCTAAAGTTTTTAAAGAGACTCAATGACAACAACCTTTAAAAGATAAAGTAGTAATTTCTGGAAACAAATTGTTTTTGATTCAAACCTAAATATGAACATTTATAGCATGAACAAATCTTTCTTATCACAGTTCCACCACCTGACAATTTGGTTAATCAAACTGGGTACAAATAAAATGTGTTATAAAGTTTGGCTCAATAGTAAAAAATCCAAATAGCAATATAGAATTTCAGGCAAAGAAATTAAATCCCTTAAAGAACAATACAATTTTTTTGAATATTACAATATTAAAAGAAAAGATTTAAGTGAGCTATAATATCCAATCTAAAATAATTTCAGGTAATTATTATGAATATTAAATCAGACAACACTTTAACACATAAAAAGGAATTCAGATTAATTTATTTTCTAAGGCACTTCTGATGTACAATATCTGATGTTGCATTTGTAAAATGTGCACTATTTCGAGGAAATTAAGAAAAAGCTACCATTAGAAAGCATGTAAACCAAGTACATGGGTTAAGACATAGAATGATTATTTGGACTTATAAAATTCCCAATATTCAATAAAATTAAGAATAGGATTTTTTTCACCATTATTTAGCTTCTTTTTTATTTAATATCTGTAAACTGTACATTGTTTTGGGAAGGATAATGGAGTGGTTTCTTACTGCCTTCGCCATAGTTTTGAATTTTGAATTGTCCTTCTCCTAGATTGGTTACCAATCAAGGCTAGAGAATCTATTGTTTTGCTGGAAAAAAAGAGAAATGGATTCATGCCTTTCCCAAAGTCATTAGTTCAAAGTGAACACTTATTTTTTTTATGTTGTTAGCCATGTGTTCACCACACCTCTGTTGAGAAGTAGATAAAATGTTCAAATATATTTTTGCCTTACAACAGAGCAAATATTAAGCCAAATTTCAGATTTAATAGGAAGTTGTGCTTAAACTATCTTTCACATTTTTTTTGTTTTAGTTTTGTGTTTTGAGCAATTTACACAAAGAAATAATTTTGGGATTTATTGCATAACAGAATGGGGAAAGGCGAAATGGACAATAGACAAAAAATCCGAATTGTCAGAAAACTGGATAAGTAATGTGGAAATGGTAGCATTAAAGACATTTGAACATCAGAAGGATCAAAGACATGGGAAAATGTACATCATTTTTCTAGATACTGAAGTACTATCATACATTTTTGTGACAGCTTTTAATAATATCAAAAGTTTTGATTTACAATCAGAAAAACAATTTTCTAAACCAAACAGGCAGAAAATATATTTGGAGTTCTGTCAATATTCACTTGTAAAACTTGTGATAACATAGCAGAATTATCATTCCTCTCTATATTACTAATTATAATTTTCTACATCCTAAACAGAAAACAAGGGATAAACCTCTACCCCTGTTCAAAAGATCAGGGAAGAGTTTGACCCAGACGATAGGTGAACATATCTACTCCTGAGGAAAAATAAATAAATAGTAAATAAAATATACTTATTTAAGAGATAAAGCAGAGATGTTAGAAGTATAGTTAAAGTAGACTTTAGAAGGAACTAGAAATCCAATCCTAAACAGGAAACAAAAGACAAACTTGTACTACTGTTCATACTCTTTCACTGTTAGTTTATTTGCTCATTTTATGATATATGCAATTAATTTTTGATGAAAATTTCATCCTAAATGTAGAATGTTCATTAAGTAAGTACTGGTACTATTCTCTGAATTATTACTGCTATATTATGTATATCGAGTAAAACATTTTGCATTAAATAAAATAAATATTTCTTATTAGTATGATAGAATATACCATCCACTATTTGCACATCCACAGATATGTATATGCAATAAGATAATTTCTTTAGAAAAAGCATATTTCCTATAACACATTATTTCTATTCATTGTCACAATAGCCATTACCACCATTATCAAAACTCAAAAGTATGACTACCATCAGAAATACTCTAATACTACTACAACTACTTTCACTATGAGAAGTTGTAAAAGAAGCAATTCTGTGAGAAACTGAAATAGATCAAAGCTTGAGTGTACATTACCAAAATAGCATCCTTTGTACATGATTCAATGATAGGTTGAACAGTTTTGTCAAGCTCCTCAAGGTCAATCTCACAATTCTCAGATAATTGGTCCATTTTCTTCTTCCTTGCCTTCACAATAGCTTCCTCAATTTGAATCTGAGAAAGGAAAAAAAATACAGTTAACTAGACAAGAAAAAAATTTAAAAAAAAATCATATTACCTCAGTAAAATGACAAAAATATTGTTTAAGAAGCACTGATATCATTGTGCCCTTAAAATTAAATTAAACCTTATTTTGAACATATATGAGCCAATATAAATTTTTAAATGTTTGTTTGAAACTTGCTCAAAATTAAAGTATATAAAGCTCCTGAGCTAAAAATGATAATAAATGCAGCAACAAACACCAACTGTTGTCATATGCCCCATGAATAGAACACCTGTTGAAAAAGAGACAACTTTCCAAAATTCTGAATGCATATACTCAAATCAAATCTATCCAGACATTTGCATAATGGTCTCATATGAAAAAGTCAACCAGAAGAGTAAGCCTTTGAGCTCAATTCTTGGCAATTATTTGACATTTTCCTCAATAACACAGACAAAGTTATCCCACTGATGCTGGTAACTAATTGTAATATGCAAGACCACCTGCAAATATTAATATTTTGTAATTTTAGAAATTATGTATTATTCTTATGGTTATTTAAGTATAATAGTTATTTTAGTTTTCATTTAAATTAAAAATGTGTGTCAGTCATAGCTGTACCTTGTCCTAAAACATTTTTTATTTATTCAATTCTATATTAGTCATCAACATTGTTATTTGTGTTTTGAACACACTCTTTAAAAGAAAATTCATTTTCAAATTATAGATGCTAATACTCTGAAGGCTATTCTTATGCTAACTAATATTTTTTCATATTCTAATCACAATGCAAACTAATTATTTCTGAGAGAGAGGGAGAGAGCACAATTTATTAAAATCTAAGCTTAAATCTTTTTTATTAATATTTCTTTATGGAATTGCTATTGGTTAACATATTCAATGTATAAATAAAAATACTGGCATCAAAAGATTTTCCTCACATTTCTATAAGTCTCTAATCAAAACTCATCTAAGTATAGGATAGCTAATGATATCAATGTTTCTTGGTTATATCCTTCACATCCTGACTGAAATACACTTGCCTTAGCTTTGCTTTCCAAGAAAATAAAGGCATCAGATTTCTTGAAAATCCTAAGAGTTTATTTCCAATTGTTCAGCTGAATAGGAAGCATTGAACAGAAGTGCTGCAGTGAATCATTTAATTTTGAGCAATTCAATTGTATTAGCATTCATCATCTCTATACACATCCCAGTAATGATATTGAAAGGCTTCACAACAGTTACCAAGAACTGTTTACTAAAATTATACAAGTTCACCAATGATCCATTCAGTTAAGCAAGAAAATAGTATCTAAAATATTTAGTTATTACCATTCATAAAAGTTCAGCTTCATCCAATTTGCTTTGAAAGCAAAACAAAAAAAAACAAACAAAAAAACGTTAAGTTCCAAATTCTACAGATCATTTGAAATGTAGTAAATATTCTGCAATTTTCCTTTCTTGTTACCTTAAGGCTTTTTTTGTAATTTATTCATTAAAATTCACCAAGTGTAATTTGTTTCCAGATCAAAACACAAATGTTTTCTTTATTATTGTCATTAAATTATTTCTAGAAGAGTATGAATGCTTGTTTATAGTTCTTTAATATATAAATATTTCTTTAATATTTAAAATCAATGTGGTAGAAAGTCACTAAAAAACTTCAATACCAATAAATTAAGAATTTTTATTAATGATACTAAGTCAGGGAATATGTGTTTTAAAAAATATTTTGTATACAATTGTAGGTAATAAAAACAGGCAAGCATTTTCTCATTTATTGCAAAACCAAATAATTATTTATAAGTTAACAAAGTATAGGAAAAGGATTATGGTTTAGTGAATTAACTGATTAAAAAACAAGCAAATAGAAAAATTGATTAAAGAAGCAACTAAAAAAAAAAAAACAATTATAAGAAATTAATCCAAATTGATAACTCAAGTCTTACATTCAAAACAAGGAGAAATGTCAATATTTAAATAAAAATAATATTTTTTGAGAGTTACACATCAATTTTTTGTTAATCTTCAAAGTTCTTTGTGTTATCATTTTCCAAGTTTTCTTAGCTTGTATAATCTTACAATTGCCATATTTCATTACTGACTTTTTAACAATATATCTTATAAGGAGATATCATTCCAAGTCTGTTTTCTAAAAGTTCCTTTGTTATCCAATTTCAAGGTATAATACAAAATTTGACAAATAATAATTCATCCACATGCATCGTTAAAAATAAAATCTCCTGGGTAGGTTATCAGAAGTAAGATTAAAATCTTTATGATCAGGGAATGCACCTGTCACAAATTATCAACAACACACATGAAAGAATATTTGAATCATGTATTCTGGCATCTTGACTGAGGTCATCTTTTTTTTTTTCTTTTTCTTTTTTTTTTTAAAGGAAACTAATTCTGAAAACATCTAATCTGAATTGGAGATAATGGATGGCTGTAGCATCAGGCATTTAAACATGTTTTATGTGGTTTGCAGTGGGGAAATTTTTGTCATAGACTATAGTAAATAATCTGACAATACTCAGCAAAGTTTCAGGTATGAATAGAACAACAACATTTTATATTGATATAATCAAATATCTGTTTGTTATTCTTATCATTTATTCAAGTTACTTATGAGAATTTTTCTGTTCCCCACATCTTAAACAAACTTCAATTTGTTATAAAATTTCACCTTAGACTCTAACCATAACAGCTGCAGTAGTCAGGGTAATTTAATATGTCTCTGAACAATAGATGGCTGCCTAGTTGTTGCATGTTTTATCTCAGGAAAAGTAAGAATATAGTAAATAAGCAAATTACTTCAACTATCATATTGAAAAGTGGACAAGATTTACATTTATTTTAAACAAACATCAACCTGATCTGAAACCAAATGGAAATACAATATATCAAAATCTGTAGGTCTTTTCTAAATGTTTGACAAATTAAAGTTGTACTCATAAATTTAAGCCAGAATATTTGTCATTAAAAAAAACAAAACAAAACATAGTATTAAACATGGTAGATAGTTGTAGCAAGGAATATTTAGAAACTATAAAGTTAAGCGGTACAAATCCGAATAAAAGATAGGAATGGTTATTTTGGGCTTTATTAATGTGTTTTGGCTTATGGCCTTATCATATTGAAACACTGGTTCTCATACAATTACTGATTAAGCAACATCAAGTTTGGTCAGTTCCTAGATGGATGACTGCTTAAGAATACCAGGTGCTATAAGCTTGGATGTGTGGATGGTGCAATGGATAACAGCTCAGAATTGGAAATTGGAAAGCCAAGTTCCAGTTGGATTCAACAGATTCACTTACATCCAGATACCCTAGGGAAAGGTATGAATCTACCTCTTTTCCCTCCAGCTATGGGTTAATTATTAGAACTTGCATCAGTAAATCATTATTATCTCCCCAAAATTCTTACAATCTAAAAATATTTGTTGAGTTTATATAACCTGCAAAAGGTTGATAAGCCTTAAAAAAAACAAATCTATTAGTTAATGAGTTTCAACTTCATGATATAATATGAAAAATGACCAAAATTAATTCCAGCAAAAAGTTTTTTGTACAAATCAAAACTCACCTGCTGCTGTTGAATGAGACTCTGATATTGAGCATTAAGATTTTGCTCACTTTGTTTTATTTGTTCTTGCATTTGTGAAAGTTGCTGTTGAAGTTGCTGTTGCAACGATGAGAGTGGAGTCTGTGGAGCTCCTGCTGGGGGACCCTGAGGCAGTGGGGCCATAGGACCTCCAGCAGGCGGTGGAGTGGCCTGCCATGGAGCAGTTGGAGGAATGACCTGCTGGGACATTGCATGCTGCACTAATGCTTGTTGTTGCTTGAGTGCATCTTGTGGTTTGTCTTGTCTTGGAACTGGAATGAATGGAAAATAAATTCATAAGAATATTTACTATGATTATGAATAACTGGATTAGTATACATTTGCATGAGTTAATTAGTGCAAATAATTCCTTTTTTGCTTTAATAATAAAATCAATAAACCTTTTTTAATGCAGTGCCATAGTTACAGTTCATAAGATTTCTTTAACTTATTGTATCTAATCAAGTGGAATTAATTTACACATCATATTTAAAATAAAATCAGACTTGATATAGATATACTGAACTCACATTGCAGTAAGAAATTATTCAATGGTAATGTGTATAAATATTAAAATATTATTAAACTTGATCTTTTAAATATGACCAGATAAAATATTTTAAGTAAGATTTTCTAATGCATCTGAGTAAATATTTTGAACAAAGAGGTCCAATAATAATAATAATAATAATGGTGTACAAAGGGAAAGAACATCAAATATTCTGCAACTATAGAGACTCATTATTCAAATGCATCTACCTTTTTCTATCTTCAATTAAAGGAGAAAATATAAATAACAATATTATAGTAAAGAAGCAAGAAAAAATTGTTTTTTTAATTATTTGCACAAAAGTGAAAGACTAAACAGGAATCTTTCTTTGTTTGCATCATAAGAGAATAAAATCTCTGACTGTATCATGAATTGCTTCTATTAGACAAAAAAGTATGAATTACTAAATTCATCCTATAATATTAATTTCTTCTAATTTTGTAAAAATATATACAACATACTTGGTACGTTTCTCTGTTCAGATTTACAATTCATTGCTATACTTGAAAGTTAATATACTAAATATATATATATATATATATATATATATAGTGTATGTAAATATATATATGTGTGTGTGTATTTAGGCAGCAATCCTTCATTTATACATGTTTCATTAAAAACGACAGACACGGTATTACAATTAACTTTTTTGTTAATTTTTCTTATGTTTGAACAAGTGCTTTCTTTTTTGGGGACATAGAGTGTATAGAAACTGTCCAAATGTTCTATAATTCCAAGTGCTTTCAACTCTACTTTTTACCCATTATCAAGGATGATTTTATTTTTTCAGTTTAATTGAGTGTGTTCATTTTATGTATATTTTTAGTGTTATAGAGATATATATGGTTAGCACATTGTGGCCCTGTTCGTAGTTAATATTGTTAAGTATTGGCTTTTTTCTTTTTTATTATTGAGGTTTCCATTATTTTTAATTTTTTTTTTTACAGATGGATGAGGTTATTATATTTGTGTTTTCTACTAGTATGTTTCAGATGGAGTCTGGTAAGTTTGTGTGTTTAAATGGGTTCTAATAAAGCTATGGTCAGATAGATGTAACGTAAGGCATCTGGATAGGCATGTAGCTGTGTGACTGATGTAATTATCTATGAATTTAGTTTGATCACGAACATAGATCCTTAAGGGGTATTTGAACTCATAAATAATGCTCAAATGTTTTCAGACATGTTCCAAAGGTGCCGCATGCTGGGATCAACCCCGATCCATTTCAATAACGTCGGGAAGTCCCCTTCCTGACAAATTGACTATAGTGAGATTTGATCCCAGCTCTCATGGTCAGAAAGCAAACGTTCTAACCACTCAGCCACATTCCAATATACACACACACACACACACACACACACACACACACACACAAGGTTGCTGCAAATTTTTTGTTTGACCAAGCAACCCTTTAAAAATAATCTAATGGTTGGTAATTAGATTTACTTTTTCAACATCTGTCTGTGTGTAAGTGAGAGAGAGAGAGAGAAGTGTAGAAAGACATATAAAGAGGTGAGACAAATATTAATAGATTGAAACTGCTAAGTGGATTTCTATAAATTGAAAAAAGTATACCAGATATAGAAAACAAAGAAGAATGTATAGACACAGAAAAATGTCAAAAAAAAAAAATCACTGTAAATTCAAATATTTCAATTTAGTTGTATGACTGATGCTAATAAAAAGTATTATTATTTTTAGCCTACCACTCTTTGACAATTACAAACTTACAATAAACTTTAAGTTGCAATTTTATTTGCATTTACAAGGTTCTGTTCCTCACAATCTTGATAGTTTTTAGATAATAAGTCTGTCTTTATCTTTTGACTTAGAGAATGGTACATCAAACAAAAATGTTATGCATATCTTTTTAAGAACTGTACTTGTTTGCTCTAACTATAAAAAATAATGTTCTCAATAAATAGTAATTATCCTTCAATGTGGATATTGCTCTTATCTCTGTTCTTAATTAAAAATAGATGAAACAATGCAAAGACATTAATATAATGACCATTGATACATTCAGCTGCCAAGTATATGCATACTTTTATTAGTTCTTTTAACTTTGATGGTGCAGAAACTTTGGTTTCACAGCAAATAATAAAGGATTTCTTTTTCCATAAAAAAATATATTCTTTATAGTATACACAAACACACACACACAATACAAACAGCATTAAATCTGTTAGGCTAACCTATTTATGGAAAGTCATTATACAGTTACTTTATATATATATATATATATATATATATATATATATATATATATATATCAGCTGCCCTGTGCCTTTTTATAAATATTTTCATGACAATTGTTCTGGTGAGCACTTCCTTTTTGTACCTTGACTTTATGAGTTTAAGCACTCTACTAAATTGGCAGCTAGGTTTCATCATTTTACAGTTGAAATGCTTTGATGTAACCATAAGTTATATATTAACAGTTTTTCTCTTACATTTCTCACTTGTGCCAACTCTCTGCTGGCTTCTTGCTTTCCAATCAACTTTGATCTTCAAAAATTTAAATACAATGTAAACTGTCAAATTCTGCCTCCTTAATTCCTGTTCTTTTATTGGTCTCTCTCCTTAATAATGTTTTTTTTTTTTGTCAGATTCTTTCACACTCAGTAACTTGTTAAGTCTTAGTAACTTTATCACCTTGATTGGGGTGAAATGATTAAAAAAAAAATATAAAATAATATTCAATAAATCTAGATTTAAAGATTTGGGGGGGGTAAAGTTTTGGAAACAAAAACAATTGTTTAGGTAGTTTTCAGCATCAGTTGCATGCATGCATGTGTGTGTGTGTGTGTGTTTATCTCAACACCAACTAGAAATGATCTGTAACATTAAAATAAATAAAAACAAAGTTTTAAAAATTATGAAAATTTCTGCAATAAAAACAAAATATATTTTTCAAAAGAAATCTTTTCATGGATTTTGAATTAAACCAATGTTTATATCATATAAAGATATTTTGCTTATTCACAAATTCTGTTAGGAAATGTGATTGTAATATTCTTCCTCATTCTTGTTGGAAAACAGGAAATCATCTTTGAAGAACTTTTTGGCATTTATTAAAATCCACCAGTTTTATTTTTTCTTATTAAATATTTGCTTTCTATGACAGAACTATGATTGTCACATATAGATGTGTATATATTAGTAATGTCTGCTATTTACTGCAACAGAAACTAGATAGAGGGAGCACAATAACACCATTAGATAAAGCAAATTTTGGAATAAAAAATATATTTACACATAGTCAGCACCATTAAGTACAAATTTTTTGAGGTACTCTTCATTTTATGGTCTTTACTTTTTTAACTACAACTTTTACTATTTTTTGCCTTGTTTCTTGTCTATTATTGAAATGTCCAAAACAATAATGGCTTTTGTTATTTATTGTATGTATAGTATAACAATGTATATAAATGATGTTAGATGATAGGAATTGTGAGATTTAAAAATTTTTCTTCAAATCATCCAAATATATATGTTTCATTTTCATTGAATAATATAGACATATTGTGTCTGTTTATTAATAGACACAATATGTCTATATTACTCAATGAAACATGTTTGAATGAAGATAAGCTGCCTAAATATACATATATATGTGTGTGTGTAATATTGAGTGTATTCAGTAATCAATTTGTAGTAAGTGTCTCTTAAAAGAAGATAGTCTTCATTTAGAATCTGTCTTACATATTGTCAATTTTTATGTTGGAATTGGATAGAGTGTGTGAGTCAAAATGTTTACATGCTAACTGAAGAAAACATCAAATGTTGAAACAACATACATCAGATATCCTTAACATACCAAACCATGTCAGGGCCAGGGAGTTAAAATTAATATGATATACTCAGGTCCTAGAGACATACTCCAAACAATATCTTTCTTTCAGAGGGGAACTAGGTGCTTACCTGTCACCTGAGATGTTCTCAAAAGGGGAAGTGTCAAGGGAGCTTTGCTACCAACCCACATTAAGCCTGTGTCACATTCTGTGTGTGTGTTTAAATACCTACAGTATATAATCTTCACTAGTTAACATTATTAATATGATGAATGTACAATAAGAGAAAACTACAGAAAGAGTTAGTTTTTTTACTTGTAATTATCATTATTTAACTACCTGAAGAGAGAAAAAATATGAGTGAGTCAGAGAGGATGATTTGTTTTAAAAACAAAATGAGTTTGTATCAAGGTGTGAGTGTACACAAAGACTATATTTTATGTTTCAGCAAAAAAATCACAATAAGATATAAATACATATAAAAATAAATAACACAAATCAAAAAGTTGCACTGCCAGATATTAAAAATAATCATCATTTGAATATCCCATTATTATTTAATTTTCTTTTATTGCATGTAATTACATTCTTTATTCTCATAATGCACTATTCTATTCACTGCTTGACTTCATTATGACTTTTGTCAAGGAAACAAAAATGATGCTTATAAATAAAAACCATCAAGGATACATTTCTGAAATCTTTATAATCCTTCTCACACACACACACACACATATGTGTTGTGTGGTCTTGGATTTTTTAAATTATATATATATATATATATATATATATATACATAAAATCATGTTATATAAATATATAATTTATTTGTTTAAACATTATTTTTGAAACAGTTATAGTATTTGAGTAGATGCTGTTTTTATTTATTCATTATGAAACAGTAAATTTATTTATTTACATCTTA